TGAGGGGTGACTTTTTGGAATTTTCAAACTTAGATCAAGCGGTGTAAAGGTCAAATGTCTGAAAACTAACGGCGAGAGCCACACTGAGATAATTTTTCAAGTACGGGGGCAAATCGATGCAATTGACAGTAGAATGGGGTAAAGTGATATCGAGCCAAATTATAAGGGGGCAAATAGATGAATTGATGAATTGAGAGTAGAAGGGTTAAAGTGATATCGAACCAAAGTACAAGAGGGCAAATCGATGCAATTGTGAGTATAAGTGGGTAAAGCGATATTCAACCAAAGTATAAGGGGTAAAGTGTAATTTACCCTAAATATAAATAAATATATATTTCCGTACACTAACGGTGCGAAGCACTAATTTAGGAAATAAACAGAATATTCGGAAGAAATCCAGTCTAAAGAACGACACTTACCTTAATTACTGAATAGTCCCGTTAAAAAATTGCAATTTCCCGTTAAAAAATTAAATAAAATACAACACGAGTCACGAGGAAAGAAAGAAAAAAGGAAAAGAAAACAACAGCTGTTCTGTTCCGCTCCTTTTCTTAATCGGGCCCCACCAACGTCTCTCCTCGGGCTTCACGCGCGCGCGCGCACACACACACTGATAGGACAGCCAATCAGTTCGCCGGCGAGATGGCAGCCGCCGCCGTTGAGGTAGCCGAGAACGGCAATGTGGAATCACCGGAATCAGCTCTGATTTTTCTCGGGACCGGTTGTTCGAGCGCCGTGCCGAATGCGATGTGCTTGATCCAGCCCTCCGATCCTCCTTGCCACGTCTGCTCCCAGTCTCTAACCCTACCGCCGGATCAAAACCCTAATTACAGGTTTTTTTTCTCATTTTTCCAATTATTGCAAAATCATAGGCTGGGATTGTACTCTCTAGTCTCTATGCTCTGATATTTGTTAGTCTGATGGTTTGATGATGCAATTTATTGTAGGTGCAATACATCTCTCTTAATTGATTACTGTGGCAGTGAGGGCAAACATAAATACATCTTGATCGATGTTGGCAAGACTTTCAGGGAGCAAGTACTCCGATGGTTCACCGCTCATAAAATTCCGCACGTAGATTCAGTGAGTTTTTGTATTCCTCAATTAAGTTCAACTTTGCCTTGATAATAGAAATGTAAAAGAGAACATTACTGTGAGTGTAATCGTGTTTCCAATTACACGAAAATTAACAACCATTGCTTTAGTTTCAATTTTTATTTTTTCAATTGGCGAATGACGATTATCGAATTTAAAAGTAGAATGATGTGATGTAGTTTGCTAACAACTTGTCCAGATTATATTAACTCATGAACATGCCGATGCTGTTCTCGGTTTGGATGATGTACGCACTGTGCAACCTTTTAGTCCAACAAATGACATCGAGCCAACTCCCATTTACCT